CTAATTAGCGTGTCTCGTGTACAAAGAGGTAATAATAGACTCAGACACCTAGACACCTGCAGAATTTTCTAAAAAATTACTTGAAAGTCTTCGAGATTCAAAAATATTTTTATATATTTGTGAAGTAGACATCTCAGGCGACATGCCCGTATACTTATCTCAAAACTCATTTTTTTGACGAAAATCGATTAACCACGTTTTAAATTATGATTTTTTTCTGAATTTTTAGCACAATAATAAATATATCAACATTTTAAAGTAGAAATGGAATTGCATAATACCAACTTGAATGATATTATAGGGTTTCATTCTTACTAGTTAAACTCAATGTCTCAATGTGTAACGAAGATTGAATTGTATCTTATTTTTGGTTGTTACCATACAATAAATAAATATATTATTCCTTTGCACACAAATATAATACAAAACTTTAATAAAAAGAATGTGATTATGATTTTTATTATTAATTAAAAATAAACATAATTATATTTACATCAAGGTAAATTTCCAATTTTCATCGAATGTTCTATCCATGAAACAGATTGTTTTAAATTTGAACATAATGCAATAAATGACTGTCGAGGACAAAATTATTGTCTCAGTGAAGAACGATATTTTTAAGATAAAAATATACGTCGAAAGATTGTTTTTATGGTTCAATGTATCAGTTGACAACATCCAGTTATTATTTATCACTTGCTTCAATTATTGGTTATCATATAATTTATATTTAGATAAAGATTTAAATCTTCTGAAGATGATAATCAATGAATGAGAACATGGTTTGTACCCATTATACATACACCACAACAGTAGCCACAATCCCACAAAAGGTTCAACATTCGTTTAAGTAATGGTGCTATCCTTTTTTTTATAGATTATAAAAATCACAATTTATTGTCATTCGTAGAACGACTGTATAGAAAAAATGGCTATATGATACAACAATTGGCCTAACAGTTTTATCAGGTTTACTATCTGGCGAAGCTATTGCATTAGATTGCCATAAAACATGGTAAAAAATGTCTTCGCCGTTTGTTAACTAGCAGCATGTATTCTGTTTGTAGTGTGAAGTAAAGGTTCAGTTTTTAACTGATCCTCTCGAAAAGCGAGTAAAGTAATAACGGTTTTTCGCATGATTAGGAAGCAGTCTTGTCATTGTTTCCTTTTAGTTTCAACTAGCTGCTGCTGCAAGAACGAGAAAGGAGATACACAAGTTTGTTAGCTCCAAATGCGCAAGATATTCAGGAGGCATAAAAATGACTATGGATGAGAAGAAAATAGAATCTTTTACAAATTTTCAGAGTTTTTCGAAGAAAAATAAATGTTTTTTAAATGAAATATGGCTTTTCTACATAAATAAGGTGTCTTTAAGATAGTCTGAAATAAACAAAACTGAGCACAAGGCGACCTCTAGGGAGACTTGATTAGATACTAACCGTTTGGGATGGATCAGATACCGTCTGTACACACATTTTGTTTATTTGACTATTGCATATCTTAGACGGTGAGAGTGTTTTTGTTTTGATAGAAAAGACTGTCAATTTCCAAAATTTGTTCACGAATACAGAACTCAACCATTTTATAAGAAAGCATGCAGACTGTTTAATTTTTTTGACAAGCGGTTCGAGAATACATGGTTATCACATGTCTTTATGTGTCTGACGACCATTTCGAAATCTTTACCTTTTCTTTGGTTAGAGTTAAGTAGGAATCGTTTTTCTTTTATTTTGTATTCTCGGCTATATCATTGATCTTCAATTATTGTTGTTAACTTTAACAGCAATTTAATTATCATACATTATCTCTCATGATGATGCTTGTATGTATCCAGTGATTATTCTCTTACTTGATTTTACACCTATTTCTACAATAAATGTAATCTTTTTGTTATCGTATTATTAATCATACTATTTGTACTGTGTTTTCCTGAAGCTATTTTTGCTTTTTTAACATGTAAGAAGGATCGTTGGTTTACTTTGTTTCTTTTACGAAACTTCTCCAAAACAATATCATGTACTTAAACAGCGAAATGAGAGTACATGTGTTAAAACGCAAGAAACATAATATGATGCAATGTTTGTTTGCTTTTATTGTCATTACTTCCATAGGGGGTGGCACTTTCTCTTTCCTACCTCTTTTTTTTATTAGCAAAAGAAAAGTTTTTCTTTTTCTTTACAACAAAAAAGAGTAAAGATATAATACATATCTTTTCTTTTCTAAAAAAAGACATATCTACCTCTATACTTTCTCTTTTATTTTATTTTTTCTTCTCCACACACAAAAAGATTTTTCCTTTTCTGCTGATTATGTCAGAAAACCATTCAACCATAATATAATATTTTGACATGAGTTTTAATAAGCTATTAATGATGTCGACCTACAATTTGTGAACAAGAAAAAACCGCGTCAGCAATAAAAAAACAGTACATGACAACACGTACACACAGATTATTTGAGTGTTTAACGAGCGATGAATTTCTTACTAATTGTGATGCTGTCTAACTATAAGTTTTTGAACATACTTTAGTGTTCATTAAAGGAACGAGTCATTGACATTTTTTTGTGATAGACGTGTTGGAATTGAAGAAATGTGTGATGTTTCTTTATCTGTCTCCATATTGAAGAAATAACCTTTTCATCTATTGGGGGAGCGCAACGTTTTATCCACTTTCCTTAAACAGTAACACGCTAAAACTAGTGACAGAGCATAAACATCTAGGACTCGTTTTTCATCAAGTCGCCAGCCATGAAAAATACGTTTAGAAAATGACTTTATTGGAATTGCTAGAGATTAAAAAAAGTGAACGGATTAAAGCGTAGCAGCTGTTACTAGTCTTGAAAAATGATTTATATTCTTTTTTAATACTTATTTTGTCTTAAAATCAAGCCTGTCGTAAATGGATAACGCATAAAGCATGTATACACTGTGAAAATTAGGTACTCTAGTGTCGCAGAACTGTAAAAGATATGAAAAACTCATAATTTTAATTGAATTTTGCTAGAGCTCTATATACTGAAAGCAAGCTCGAAGTGCCGGAATGCTCTAATCGGGTAGATAATGCGTATTTAATGAGATCAGCAAGTGCATATATCTAGCTGCTAGCAATAGAACTTATTTACAAAATAGCGGAAGTGCATAGATATTTACTTTTTTATACACCTGGGATCTGGGAATTTTTGAGAGGTCATATTTAGTTTTTTGAGATATAAGCACTATTTCCTATCCTTTAACAGCTGCTACGTTGTCTAATTTGATACATTCCGATAAACTAGCGCCTGTTACGTAGTGTTTTATACGTAACTTGTATCCTTCTTTGTGTCAGTGCCAACAATGAATTATGTTTTCATATTTTATTAACAAAAGCTTGTTCAGATACAAGTAACGCTCATCTTCCATTCACTAACCCTTGACTGAAACATCCTGGTGCTAACGAACTCGACATGTACGATGAGCGAAATCCGCATCTTATAGAAAATGAATTTTGTTGTCCTCGGTACGGTTGAATAAACTACCAAAACCTCCGTACACTATACACGATTCTGCATCCCAGCAGCAGAATACAGCTACCAACACTTTAGAAAGAACCATCACACAAAACTACAAAGCACGCAAGTACGGAAAATACAACTACGAAAAACGACACAAACGTGTAACGTCAGGTGTCGCACCAAAGCAACCGCTTGCACCACAACAGTAATACCAACGATACACTCTAACAACCAAACCCGATACACAGCACCATACCCACCAACCTGTCCGCCTAACACACACACAATCGAGAAGTTCAACAAAACTCAAACCCTGATCAGACCAAATTACGAAAAAAACAGAAGTTCCCATGGGTAAAAAATGGAAAAGGCACAAAAAACCACTAAAACGACGCCAACATAACGCATATCCAACAGTCCGTGATTGCAGATCGCCACGAAGTTGGTGCCAGCAGATAAAATATGTAAAATTTAGTTTCGGACATTTTCGGTTCGAGAGCCAGATTTGTGAAATGCTTGCTTCACGGTGAAAAGTGTTAATTATCAAAAATTAGCGTTTTTCTCGCTAATTAAGCAAACTGATGCCAGCAGATAAAATATGTGAAATTAAATCTCTGACACTTTTTATTCAGGGCTCGCAGATCTAGGATGTCCTGCTGTTGAGAAAAGTAGTAATTATGTGTTTTTCCTCCTCGAATGTCAATATGTCGCTAATCTACGTTCAAGTGGCGTCAGGTGTCACTACTCTACTATTCTACACCGCCGGACGGACGGACGGACGGACATTTCGTTTGTATGACCCAAGACTTTCAGTCAAGGGAATAATATGAACTAATACAAGTGAGTAGTAGTTTATTTACAAAGAAAAGAAACTCTCTGCTTTAACGAAGAAGGATCGAACTATTTATATACGCAATATTGCGCAATCATCTTGAGTATTGAGATGCAATAACCATTACCATATCGTGGTGCAATAACTATGACCATATAGTTGTGCAATAACTATGATCATATAGTTGTGCAATAACTGTGACCATGTGTGGTGTAATAGCCATGACCATATTCTTGCGTAATTACCTTGACGATGTTCTTGCGCAATTACGAATAGGTCTTTTCGGAAGGATGGAACGGAAAATGAGGTAAGAGTAAAAACGACGTAATAAAGTGCCCATGCAATAAGGCAACAGTGGTGAAACATATTTACATCAGAGAATGTTGACATTGCGTCAGCGAATGAGAATTTCCAGAATTACTGAAGGAGATTTTCTACGCTTCCTAACACGCCCACTCCTACAAGATGAGCGTCCCGCTCATCTGCTGTTTTTTCCGCATCTTGAGTTTGATGTTGTAAGACTCTTGGTGGTTGGATGTTGAGACGCCCGGCTAATTTCCGTCATAAAAGTGTTGTTTCATCCCCAATTATAACTATCGAACCAGATGTCAACTTGAGTGATGATGTCGTTGTGATGATATTCGATGTTGGGATGCTGGTTAGGATGCTTGTGGATTTAAATTGGACTGATTCGTGAAACATGTGCTTTTTCTATATGTCCATCGTTGACATGTTTCACTACATAATTCAATCGTCCTTCTTGCTTCATGACTTCAAATGGGCCATAGAATTTTGGAGAAAATTTGCGAAGATTTTTAGCCATCATTTGTTTGAGAAACACCTTCTGTCCAACTTGTAAAATCATATCTCTTCGTCCTGTGTCAAATCTTGTCTTGTAGATGTCTTGTTGTTGTTTGACACTGTATCTTGCTGTTGATTTGGCTTGATCGAGAAATCGACGAAGTTGAAGGTAGTAGTCATTGACGGCGGATAATGCCACGATGCCTTTTGGAATATCAAACGGGAGAGTGGGATCACGACCAAACATTAGTGTGAACGGAGCCATTTTTGTTGATTCCTGTCTGGATGTGTTGTATGCAAATGTAATGAATGGCAAAAATTCATCCCAATCAGATTGCTGTTGGTTAACATATGCACCAATTGAAGCTGCAATTGTGGCATTCATCCGTTCGGTGAGACCATTCGTTTGAGGATGGTAAGTTGTTGCTTTGATATGATGAACACCGCACCTTGAAGCCACCGCTTCAAATAATTTAGCCATGAAATGACTTCCGTTGTCCGTTATCAATTGTTGGGGTACACCGAATTGTAGGATGACTTTTTCGACGAGGAATTTGGCAGCAGACTCGGCTGTACAATCAGGTACAGCACAGGTGATGGCGTACTTAGATAAATAATCGACGCACACCAGGATGTATTTGTTGCCCGTGGTTGAAATTGGAACGGGTCCAATAAAATCAAGTCCCATCAAATCAAGGATTCCACTTGGTTGTTCAATTGGTTTGAGGA